GGTGTATCAATGAGTTCCTCGGTTCAAATGCCGTCCTTGACATTGGTCATTGCTACTTCATCTCCAACAGTAAGTTCATTAGGACCATATTCAAGTTCTGCCATGTCCATTTCATCAAGTTCAACAGTTGTATCGAGTGAATTCATCCCATCAGTAACCACATCAAGCTTTACAACAGCAATATCAAGTTCAATTCCAGTTGTGTCAAGTGATATCATACCATCAGTAACTGCACCAAGCTTTACAACAATGTCATCAAGTTCAATTCCAGTTGTGTCAAGTGAAATCTCACCATCATTAACTGCAACATCTGTTCGAACACCATCAAGCTATTTAGAAATGACGTCTACAGTAGAAACAAGTGTATTGCAAACTATATCAAGTTCTTTAGGAGCAACATCAACTGCAGAATCACACGCAACAAGTTCTTCAGGTGTTGAAACAACAACAACAACAACAATACCATCACAATTATTAAGCTCTTTAGAACTTACATCAGAAACAAGTTTAATTGCCACTACATCAAGCATACCAATATCACTACCAACAGCAGAAATAATTACCACTACATCAAGCATACCAATGTCACTACCATCAACAGAAATAATTGCCACTACATCAAGCATACCAATGTCACTACCATCAGCAGAAATAATTACCACTACATCAAGCATACCAATGTCACTACCATCAGCAGAAATAATTGCATCTGAAAGTTTATTCAGCGTAACAACCACAATACCACCCATATCATCTAGTTCTTCGGTTGAAATTCCTTCTCTGACAAGTACATTAAAAATGGCATCAACTAGGGAATTAGTGCCAAGCACTCTAGAAACGACACAAGTAACCATGGCAACCTCAAATATTAGTCCATTCAGCATAATAACCACAATACCACCCATATTATCTAGTTCTTCAGCTGAAATTCCAACAATGCAAGTAACCATGGCAACCTCAAATATTAGTCCATTAGTATCAGAATCCTTAATAATTCCCTCCAGTTTAACATTAGCTGCAAGTTCATCAATGATAACAATGCCAATCACTGAAATTTCATCTAACATAGAAGATTCAAGAACTGTCACAACAACAATCACAGTGTCGTCCATCCAATCGCTATCATCAGATATAGCACTCTCTTCATCACCATTGACTTCTCTTTTTTTAACACCATCTCAGGAAACAAGCTCTGTACCATCTGTTGTGGTGTTAACAACATCAGTACCACCTTCTCCAAGTTTGCCAGATATAACAACGCTGTTTGTGGCATCAGAGATGTCAACTACTCTACAGAAGACATTATCACCCGTGGTAATGCCCACAACTCAAATTACAACAACAGGTAGTTTCTTGGAAACTACAAGCAGTCCCTTGGCAACAGCAAGCAGTTACATGGCAACAAGCAGTGCCTTGGAAACTACAAGCACTCCCTTGGCAACAGCAAGCAGTTACATGGCAACAGCAAGCAGTTACATGGCAACAGCAAGCAGTTACATGGCAACAAGCAGTGCCTTGGAAACTACAAGCAGTCCCTTGACAACAGCAAGCAGTTACATGGAAACAACAAGCAGTTTCTTGGAAACTACAAGCAGTCCCTTGGAAACTACAAGCAGTCCCTTGGAAACTACAAGCAGTTCCTTGGCTACAGCAAGCAGTTACATGGAAACTACAAGCAGTCCCTTGGCAACAGCAAGCAGTTACATGGAAACAACAAGCAGTTTCTTGGAAACTATAAGCAGTCCCTCTGCAACAGCAAGCAGTTACATGGAAACAACAAGCAGTTTCTTCGAAACTACAAGCAGTCCCTTGGCAACAGCAAGCAGTTACATGGAAACAACAAGCAGTGCCTTTGAAACTACAAGCAGTCCCATGGCAACAGCAAGCAGTTACATGGCAACAACAAGCAGTGTCTTGGAGACTACAAGCAGTCCTTTGGCAACAGCAAGCAATTACATGGAAACAACAAGCAGTGCCTTTGAAACTACAAGCAGTCCCTTGGCAACAGCAAGCAGTTACATGGCAACAACAAGCAGTGTCTTGGAGACTACAAGCAGTCCCTTGGCAACATCAAGCAGTTACATGGCATCAACAAGCAGTGCCTTGGAAACTACAAGCAGTTACATGGCATCAACAAGCAGTGTATTGGAAACAAGCAGTCTTTTGGCAATAGTAAGCAGTCCCTTAGCAACAACAGGCCCTTCCTTGTCAATAACAAGCAATCCTTTGGCAAAAACAACTGATTTGTCATCTGTTTTGGGATCGTTTACTACAACAACAGCAATACCTATTGTTGACACAAGTATACTACAGCCCAGTGAAGGATCTATCACAGTGACAGCAAGTCCAGCATCGATCATAGCTTCAATCTCAACGAGGTCCAGTGCTGTATCCGAACCATCAATATCACCCACAGTAACCCTAGAACCATCAATATCAACACAATTAGAAGTTAAGTCAAGTACAGTGCCTCAAGTAGTAACAACAGAATCTCTGCAATCGATAACTTCCATATTTCAGACATCATCTGTTGAGGTATCCTTGTCAAGTCCTGTCATATCGCCCAGTACTACAGGTATTGTGACTTTAAATGATAGTTTTGCAGTGTGTGTGTGTGTGTTTGTGCTCTCTCACCTCAACACCCTAAATGTATATTAATTATTCATTAACACCATTTGTTACTATTAGTAATTAACATATTAAGAATAGTTGCTTGCTGATGGCAAATATAGTTCTTACGCACGAAAAGGCCTACATGGCTAGCACATGCTAAAAATGTCTACATGGCTAGCACATGCTAAAAATGTCTGCGTGGCTAGCACTTGCTAAAAATTTCTACGTGGCTAGCACTTGCTAAAAAATGTTTACATGGCTAGCACATGCTAAAAATATCTACATGGCTAGCACATGCTAAAATGACTACATGGCTAGCACATGCTAAAAATGTCTACATGGCTTGCACATGCTAAAAATATCTACATGGCTAGCACATGCTAAAAATATCTACATGGCTAGCACATGCTAAAAATGTCTACATGGCTAGCACATGCTAAAAATGTCTGCGTGGCTAGCACTTGCTAAAAATTTCTACATGGCTAGCACTTGCTAAAAAATGTTTACATGGCTAGCACATGCTAAAAATATCTACATGGCTAGCACATGCTAAAATGACTACATGGCTAGCACATGCTAAAAATGTCTACATGGCTTGCACATGCTAAAAATATCTACATGGCTAGCACATGCTAAAAATATCTACATGGCTAGCACATGCTAAAAATGTCTACGTGGCTAGCACTTGTTGAAAATGTCTGCGTGGCTAGCACTTGCTAAAACATGTCTACGTGGCTAGCACATGCTAAAATGACTACATGGCTAGCACATGCTAAAAATGTCTACATGGCTTGCACATGCTAAAAATGTCTACATGGCTAGCACATGCTAAAAATGTCTG